ATCTAGGTTTATTAGGGGCCTAGGGCTTATTGAAGTCAAATGGGACCCCATTTTTTGTTATATTAAGAATCTTTGCATTGATTACAATAAAACAATCAATACTATAAATTATCATTATTAATATTAACTATTTTTTACTATACAATAAGTGCTCATTGTTAATGAAAAAGTTTTTAAAAATTTATTATGATAATTCAATTTTTGTGGGCCCTTGACACTTGGAGGCCCAGGGCTTAAGCCCTATTAGTCCCTATGTAGATCCGCCCCTGACAACTATTCTAAACTGTCTATCATACTCTATGAATGACAATCTAACCCAGTGGTTTCCCAAGTGGGCGCTACCGCTCCCTGCGGTGAGTAAATTTAGGGTGAAGAAAAGAGCAAGTGGGCGGCAGGAGAGCGCTGGAGGCAGGGTACTGAACGATGACCATAGGCAAAGGTTGGGGTCTTTTCCTTTCCTCTGCTAAACGGATAAGAACAAACATTGCGTTTAATGGTTTCCAGATGTTGAGAACAACGTACGGTTAAGGACACAAAGTGTGAGTGAGATTCATAGAAAAGTTTTTCTAAGAATATTTCTAAGCCTTTCTCACAAAAGAGAAAAAGAGTTGAGGGCGTTGGGTATAACTTTATGGAACCAAGGGGCGGTAGATCGAAAAACTTTGGGAATCATTGATCTAACTCAGGGGTGGCCAACAGTTTTTGCCCCAGGGCCGAATTGGAAAGAGAACTTTCTTCACGGGCCGAACCAGAGGCTGCCCTAGGAAGATTTTGAGGTTGTGCGAGATCTCATTGTAGTGTCACCCCGTAGAGACTAAATTGTACATTGAGATTACAGATACATTTTTCACATTATCGTGCATTATCAACGTTCTACGCTGTACAGGTACTTAAGTGATTTGTAATGGAGGGTTAACTCTAGCGAGTTGACCTTTTTTTTTTTTTAGGCATTAGAATTTTTCATCGATCTATTCTGACTTGAGTAGCTAATATTGAAAGTTTAATCGCAGACCACGTAAATCCATTACACAGGCCACATCCGGCCCGCTGGCCGTATGTTGGCATGCCTGGTCTAACCTTTCTGTGAAGCTGTTACTCGTAATGCTAAATACTGCATATCTCGCGAGGGAAATACTTGTCATTTGCTTGGGTTTACAAGAAATAAACACGAGTTTGTATTTGGCATATCTACATCTAAACACGTATTATCTTGTTATTTCACAACCTAATTCAAAATATCCCGTGTTTTTGCCTTCACTATTTTTGGTTGATATTCACTAATTTAATAGTAATTTTAAAAAATAAAGTTATAAGAATTTATGCAATTATTAACAATTTTGTACCAAGTGTTATTAACTGTCCTATTTAAATTGTATGTAATCATCGTTTTTAATCTTTCTTCCTGCTAGATATCCAAATTCCACGGGCTATCATTCTTTTAACATGGTTATGCCATTTTTTCCTAAACGCAGAAAATATGTAGAAGGATAGGGGACAACGCCTCGATCTGTAAAAGAATAAAAAAATGTACCCCAAAAAATGCATTCACATTTTTGGACTGCTCTGTATACATTTGATAATGTAAGTTATATATAATGTGAGCATTCAAAACTTGTTTGTTTTATGTAGTTCGAGTTATCCAATAATATAATTTTTATGCAAATAATTTACTTTTAATACGATTACTTCTAGCACCATCGAAGAATCTGTCAATGACGTGCAGTAATATCAGCATGAAATTTGGCAAATAAAACATTAATTTCATGTTTAAATTCTCCATGTGTTGCAGGTTTTATAATATATATAAGTTATTATGTTTTGAGTAATCACAAAGGTTAGATTTAGTACATTTTTAAGCTTACAATATCGGTTTTACAATAACCTAGTTTTAAACAATGGAGTACATTATAACTACTAAGAAATGATTACTTATTGTTGTCAATGTGTAATGTCAATAATGCCAGATTGTGTCGTAACGTTATTGATTATTCTGACACAGATAATCAATTACTACTACCCATATTGGCCCATAGAAGACGTTTGTATAGAAGTCAATAGAATAACGAAAAACCACGAATGGAAAAGATTATTTTTAGCCACATTCTACCATTTAAACATAATTCATCTCGTCTTAAACGTTGACTCTCTGTATACCGTTGGTCGTGATCTCGAAAATGAATTGGGTGGCTTGACGTTTTCTTGGATTTTCATCTTTACTACATTTTCTAGTAATATCATCCTGGTGACGTTTTTGTATATCCTGGGAATAAAATGGCCAATTTATTCTCAGCAATGTGTAGTGGGATCTTCTGGAGTTATCTTCTCTCTTCATACCTTTTGCTGCTACTTTTGGCCTTTTTGTGAGGTCGAAAACGTACGAGTCCACAGATTCTCCGTTATTTTAACTATGTTGATTTGCATTCATTTGATATTTTGGAATTCCTCGTTTTTGGGACATATTTCTGGTATTCTTGCTGGAGGAATATGCTGTTTATTAATGCTAGCAAGAGAGCATCTCTCGGTATGAATATGGACATTCCGAAAGTTTTTGACGTTAATAAATTTTGAAGGAGTTAAACACGATAATTTTGAAAGAAATGATATTTTTTGTTTGAGAAACTTAAATTATACATTTAAAAATTAATTTTCGATAAATTTGGAAAGAATTCCTGTAGAATTAAAAATTTTATTTTATTTGTATTGCTTATTTTGAAACTTTATATATTATTTATATTTAAGAGATATAATCATAAAGCTCGATAGAAGTAAACCGTCAAGTAAGCGAGCGAACAAACGAACGGTTAACAAAGCAAACCTCACTATACTGGAATTAGAACACTTTGTCTATCCGAATTTACATTTATTTAAAAAACTAAAGATAAACCGGAAAAATTATGAATATCGTGGTTTAGGGCAGTGAAGATGGACCAAAACTGAATTCAAAACTTAGTAACTCTAAATCACAAGTCAAATATTTAATTTGAGTAATTAAAAACTAAAAAGTTAAACTTGTAATTTTTTTTAATATAAAAATAACAGTAAACTCTACATAATTGTAAAGAAAATAATAACATGATTATAACAAACATTTCTTTTAATGGGAAATCTGTTTGTTTGAGGATAATTTCTCTATCTGAAGTTCNAAACTGGCCCCTATTCAGGCGTTACAGACGTGGAGAAAACCCGGAAAACTCTACGTTGTTTCCTGTTGCAATTTCTGTCGCTGAAAAGAGATTTTCATTTGAAAAACCTCTTCAATCGGGTTAGATTGAGAAAAATGAATGATAAAAACTTCAAATTGATATTTAATATTTGTAAGATACATTTCAAAAGAATTCTGTACTTCTATTTTCCTTCTTTTGTAATTCTTCAAAAAATTAGAAAAATTTTTCATAATAAATCCATTTTAACACAATTTTTATCATAACCCTATTCAAAAATATGAAATCGTCTGTAATCAATTAATTTATATATGAAAATTTTATTCTGAAGCATCATCTTCGTTATTCCAGTTTACTTTATTAATCCTTATAGTAAGAGACGATAAAAATACAATTTGTTTGAGGATAATTTCTCTATCTGAACTATCGTATAAGGACTCAAATAAAAGTATAAATTTTTAAAATATCTTTAATTTTGAGTGTTTTAAATTTATAATTTCATTATTCCTTAAAAATCGTTGAACATTGTCAACTAGTTTTATGTTCAAATAAATCGAGATAAAGAGTTCACTGATCCGTTGAAAGCTATATTCATAAAAGTACAAAATGAAGAATGTGTTCGTAGTTGCGGAACTGGAACTGTCTTGACCCTCGATGTGTAACTTTCTAGTATCGAGTCCGAAGCGGTTCCGACCGGAACTACCCACGGTGTTTGTGTTTGTTAAGCGCGCGATAGACTTTACAAGAGACTGGCACATTTTTAAAGACTATATAATTAAAATTAGGTAAGAGCTACAACAAAACTAAGGTATGCTTGACATTTGTAATACAAGTAACTTTTTTTAATTTATAGTAAAAAACATATATGATAAATATGAAAATAAGCGGGAATTTTTCAAATAAAATGATCAAATATACAAGTTTTCAGAGATTATTCGTTACATGCTTAGAAGAAACAGGATTCAAATCGTCGCCAGAAAACTGTAAATCTGCCATTCTAGCATGGTACGTGTCTATAGCAGGAAAGCCGATATGCAAAGGAGCTAAATCTCTTAATTATCTACGTTAATCGTCTCTATAATTAATTTGATAGATTAAAATCTAAATTTTAATTGTAGGCCGTTTTACTTGCAATATAGAAGGGCGAATATTTATTTTAAATTTACTAGGAAATTCTAAACAAAATATCATCGTTCTCATTAGTTTACTTACGATAGACAGGGGCGGATCTAGGTTTATTAGGGGCCTAGGGCTTATTGAAGTCAAATGGGACCCCATTTTTTGTTATATTAAGAATCTTTGCATTGATTACAATAAAACAAATAATACTATAAGTTATAATTATTATATTATTAATTTTAACTATTTTTTTACCTCATTGTTAATGAAAAAGTACTAAAAATTTGTGATGATAATTCAATTTTGTGGGCCCTTGACACTTGGAGGCCCAGGGCTTAAGCCCTATTAGTCCCTATGTAGATCCGCCCCTGATAACTATTCTAAACTGTCTATCATACTCTATGAATGACAATCTAACCCAGTGGTTTCCCAAGTGGGCGCTACCGCTCCCTGCGGTGAGTAAATTTAGGGTGAAGAAAAGAGCAAGTGGGCGGCAGGAGAGCGCTGGAGGCAGGGTACTGAACGATGACCATAGGCAAAGGTTGGGGTCTTTTCCTTTCCTCTGCTAAACGGATAAGAACAAACATTGCGTTTAATGGTTTCCAGATGTTGAGAACAACGTACGGTTAAGGACACAAAGTGTGAGTGAGATTCATAGAAAAGTTTTTCTAAGAATATTTCTAAGCCTTTCTCACAAAAGAGAAAAAGAGTTGAGGGCGTTGGGTATAACTTTATGGAACCAAGGGGCGGTAGATCGAAAAACTTTGGGAATCATTGATCTAACTCAGGGGTGGCCAACAGTTTTTGCCCCAGGGCCGAATTGGAAAGAGAACTTTCTTCACGGGCCGAACCAGAGGCTGCCCTAGGAAGATTTTGAGGTTGTGCGAGATCTCATTGTAGTGTCACCCCGTAGAGACTAAATTGTACATTGAGATTACAGATACATTTTTCACATTATCGTGCATTATCAACGTTCTACGCTGTACAGGTACTTAAGTGATTTGTAATGGAGGGTTAACTCTAGCGAGTTGACCTTTTTTTTTTTTTAGGCATTAGAATTTTTCATCGATCTATTCTGACTTGAGTAGCTAATATTGAAAGTTTAATCGCAGACCACGTAAATCCATTACACAGGCCACATCCGGCCCGCTGGCCGTATGTTGGCATGCCTGGTCTAACCTTTCTGTGAAGCTGTTACTCGTAATGCTAAATACTGCATATCTCGCGAGGGAAATACTTGTCATTTGCTTGGGTTTACAAGAAATAAACACGAGTTTGTATTTGGCATATCTACATCTAAACACGTATTATCTTGTTATTTCACAACCTAATTCAAAATATCCCGTGTTTTTGCCTTCACTATTTTTGGTTGATATTCACTAATTTAATAGTAATTTTAAAAAATAAAGTTATAAGAATTTATGCAATTATTAACAATTTTGTACCAAGTGTTATTAACTGTCCTATTTAAATTGTATGTAATCATCGTTTTTAATCTTTCTTCCTGCTAGATATCCAAATTCCACGGGCTATCATTCTTTTAACATGGTTATGCCATTTTTTCCTAAACGCAGAAAATATGTAGAAGGATAGGGGACAACGCCTCGATCTGTAAAAGAATAAAAAAATGTACCCCAAAAAATGCATTCACATTTTTGGACTGCTCTGTATACATTTGATAATGTAAGTTATATATAATGTGAGCATTCAAAACTTGTTTGTTTTATGTAGTTCGAGTTATCCAATAATATAATTTTTATGCAAATAATTTACTTTTAATACGATTACTTCTAGCACCATCGAAGAATCTGTCAATGACGTGCAGTAATATCAGCATGAAATTTGGCAAATAAAACATTAATTTCATGTTTAAATTCTCCATGTGTTGCAGGTTTTATAATATATATAAGTTATTATGTTTTGAGTAATCACAAAGGTTAGATTTAGTACATTTTTAAGCTTACAATATCGGTTTTACAATAACCTAGTTTTAAACAATGGAGTACATTATAACTACTAAGAAATGATTACTTATTGTTGTCAATGTGTAATGTCAATAATGCCAGATTGTGTCGTAACGTTATTGATTATTCTGACACAGATAATCAATTACTACTACCCATATTGGCCCATAGAAGACGTTTGTATAGAAGTCAATAGAATAACGAAAAACCACGAATGGAAAAGATTATTTTTAGCCACATTCTACCATTTAAACATAATTCATCTCGTCTTAAACGTTGACTCTCTGTATACCGTTGGTCGTGATCTCGAAAATGAATTGGGTGGCTTGACGTTTTCTTGGATTTTCATCTTTACTACATTTTCTAGTAATATCATCCTGGTGACGTTTTTGTATATCCTGGGAATAAAATGGCCAATTTATTCTCAGCAATGTGTAGTGGGATCTTCTGGAGTTATCTTCTCTCTTCATACCTTTTGCTGCTACTTTTGGCCTTTTTGTGAGGTCGAAAACGTACGAGTCCACAGATTCTCCGTTATTTTAACTATGTTGATTTGCATTCATTTGATATTTTGGAATTCCTCGTTTTTGGGACATATTTCTGGTATTCTTGCTGGAGGAATATGCTGTTTATTAATGCTAGCAAGAGAGCATCTCTCGGTATGAATATGGACATTCCGAAAGTTTTTGACGTTAATAAATTTTGAAGGAGTTAAACACGATAATTTTGAAAGAAATGATATTTTTTGTTTGAGAAACTTAAATTATACATTTAAAAATTAATTTTCGATAAATTTGGAAAGAATTCCTGTAGAATTAAAAATTTTATTTTATTTGTATTGCTTATTTTGAAACTTTATATATTATTTATATTTAAGAGATATAATCATAAAGCTCGATAGAAGTAAACCGTCAAGTAAGCGAGCGAACAAACGAACGGTTAACAAAGCAAACCTCACTATACTGGAATTAGAACACTTTGTCTATCCGAATTTACATTTATTTAAAAAACTAAAGATAAACCGGAAAAATTATGAATATCGTGGTTTAGGGCAGTGAAGATGGACCAAAACTGAATTCAAAACTTAGTAACTCTAAATCACAAGTCAAATATTTAATTTGAGTAATTAAAAACTAAAAAGTTAAACTTGTAATTTTTTTTAATATAAAAATAACAGTAAACTCTACATAATTGTAAAGAAAATAATAACATGATTATAACAAACATGTCTTTTAACGGCAAATCTATTTGTTTGAGGATAATTTCTCTATCTGAACTATCGTATAAGGACTCAAATAAAAGTATAAATTTTTAAAATATCTTTAGTTTTGAGTGTTTTAAATTTATAATTTCATTATTCCTTAAAAATCGTTGAACATTGTCAACTAGTTTTATGTTCAAATAAATCGAGATAAAGAGTTCACTGATCCGTTGAAAGCTATATTCATAAAAGTACAAAATGAAGAATGTGTTCGTAGTTGCGGAACTGGAACTGTCTTGACCCTCGATGTGTAACTTTCTAGTATCGAGTCCGAAGCGGTTCCGACCGGAACTACCCATCTTTAATTCTGGAATGTTCGAAATTAGAATCGTTGGAAGTGGAAGGCACCACTGCATATTTGTATATTTGCGTATTCGAATTTAAAAAAAAAAAAAAAATTTGAGATTTGATTTCATTATTCTAGTTTTATTAAATGATGGATCATTTAATAAAACTGGATAATGAATTGAGGGCTGGGCAGAACCAGAGAGGACTCTGTGTCAGCATTTGTTTTGATACTAATTTGTCAGTAAAAGTTTTTTTTTCGTTGTTTGTAAATAACTTATTTTGTTGTTTTCGTAGTGTACATGTTTTGTATCGTTTGAGTCTACGTGCTTTGGCTGCGAGTTTCTGTTTTAGTGTATCAATTATAGTGAATTTTAGTGTATTCTGTAATGTGTGTGTTGTGATGATCATGTTTTGTATGTGTTTTGATTTTCTTGAAACTGTTTTTCAGTTGTTTCTTTAATTTGGGTGTTATATTGTTTTTAATATATTGTATCAGCCTGCCTAATTGCTGTCTAATGTCATTTATTTGTGTTTCTATTCTTCTCTGCCAGGCAAGCTTGTGATAGAATTGTGTTTTGTATGTGTTCATCTGCGATTGTATTTTCAGTCCATGGTGTGTTACTACTGTGACTGCCCCAGCATAAACTAATGTATGAATGTCTGAGAGTGTAGAAATTGAATGAATGTAGTTTGGTAGTAAATGAGTGTTTACATAATTTAGTGTTTTTCCTACTACCTTTGACGTGATTTTCGGTATTCGTGGTCTTTGTGTGGGATTTGTGCCTGTATATTTAGTGAGTGTTTCCNCCCTTGACATGTCATATCTCTAGATTGTACCCCTCATTTAAGAAATTTAGTGAGTAACCGTATTGTTAATTTTACATATTGTAACTTTAAATTAAAGAAAAAAAAACTAAAAGAAAAAATGTATAATAAAGTTGTGATTGTTGCAAGGAACATTATTTATCTAATAATTTTTTAATACTATTAGTTTGTGATACATAATATATTATTTTTTCTGCCATAATAACAAACTTTTTTCTGTACCCCTAAACAACCTATCGCGTACCCCTAGGGGTACGCGTACCACAGGTTGGGAATCGCTGCTATAAATGAATGAATTCAATCTATTATGAATTGGTTAAATGACTATATTGAGAATATTTTAAATTAAATTCATAAATACAGACCAGAAATTTTAGAAACAAGCTTTATTCAAATTTACTTTATAATTTCAAATCTGTTTATTAAACACATCTAGGATTTTATTTGAAATAAAAACTTAAGTATACGAAAGTGTTAAAGAGACGAGGAGACAATCGATTCTTTACTTTTGTTAAACTGTTACCGCAAATCGAGAAAATCCTTCCACTGTCGGTTAATGTAGGTTCGATGATTTTGAGCGGTAAGTAAAGTTTCTCTACATTTTCACCACGTTTTCATGCCAACATCATTTTAATTTCTTCTGCTTTGAAATTTATTAATACTTTTACTATTGTTTGAATATTAATAAAAATCTTCATAACTTCGGCTCATTTTTTACCGAAGTTTCGAAACCTAAAAATGCCAAAAATTTTTGAAGGTTCAAAGTTTCGAAGGCTTCGATTGATAGCTCTAAGTTAAGGTGGTCATACACCGATTTCGTTTGCGGTGAGTTATAAATTTTGGATTTAACGTGTAAGAAGTAATATCGAAAATTTTCTTACTACTAGAGTAATTCTAAAGAATAGAAGTACAGTAAAGAGTATATAATGTACTATAAAAATTCCCATTAGAATTAGTGACTGTAGCTTTTCAACGTCAACCAATTGAATTTGTTGACGCGAAACTCGAGTATAATTTTTATCCATGATCAACCGTAATAACCCACGGTAGGATCAGCTATTGTAAACAGTGAAAAAGACGCCCCGAACATTTCGTAAAATTATATGAAGAATAATTAATGACTAGTTATTATGAATAAATCAATAATCCTTCATTTATATTTTCTAAGCAACTTCTATCTTTCTTATCCATTAAATAATAAGAAAATAATAATAATTATGAAATTAAGTAAATTTTTTAAAAATCATTTTAACAAACATTTTTTTAATATTTTTGTTGATTAATATAAAAAATGTCTATAAAGAATGTTAGGATCTACGGATATAACAGAAATATTCAAAAGAATTTATAGTGGTTTTTCCGGATCTCTTATTCAATGAAAAATTTTAAAGACTTATCGACATCGTATCATCTTATCGACATGCCTGTTCTTTGAGGAAATAAAAATAAAAAATACAATACAATATTTTACTATCGAAGATATAAAAAGCATTAAAATTAAAATTCAAAATATTATTTGACAACTTCTAGTAGCAAATAAGACAATTTAATTATTTTATATAATTCCTTTCACTTGTGTTTATTTGTAAAAAAGTATAAAGTTCCATATCAGGAAATGCCTTCACATTTCCTGATATAGAAAGATAAAGACTACTTTGTTAATAATTAATATATTGGTTGATATTCATACAGTTATGTTATCCAATACCAGAATGTAATATAAACTGTATATATATTTTAAAAACAAATATAAAAATAGTGTAAGCCTAGACATTTTATGTATTATGTATAAGAAAAGAAAATACAGTACAGTATAGTATTTGGTGTCTGATAGATTGAAACTGAATTGAATTTATATTATATATATATACTGTATATATAATCTTATTTAAAATACTGTTGTTTTCTTGTAAACATGAAAGTTATTTCAATATTAAAGTATTCAATTTAGCTGCCAAAATTATCACTCATATATGTGAACAATTCTAAAAAGTTGTCTTAGGATAGATATCCACACGAGCGATTTCATCACGCCAAGTCAGCATATAATCACGCAATCCTTGCGAATCGTATTGCTGATACACATTACGGCTTCTCCTTTCTGCCAGATAGAATAGGAATGAACAAATCAAAGATGGAAGACGCCGAGGCGATCATCTTATCGACATACCCGTTCTTTTTGGAAATAAAAATAATTATTAATCTATGATTTGTTTTCTTTTTCTTATCGTTTTTCATCTTTATACTTTCTTAATGTAATAATGTGCAATTCTTAAAATATCAGATTTATAGAAATGATATAAGAGCAACAAATATATTCAGAAAATGTAAAATGATTATGAACATATTTATTTATCTTCTTTCTAAAAACAGAAATTCATACAAGAGTGCAAAAATGTTACATTGCCAAATAATAATTTCGTTGAGTGTGCTGTGTATAATTTTAAAAGATGAGTCAATAAAGTAGAATTTTAAAAGTAGAATAAAATGAGAAATAGATTAATGAGAAGTTACGAGCTAAAATTTTATGGATTTCTTAGCAGGCAAAAAACTGAACTTTCTAAATTCTATGGCATATGGTAAAGCTTATTGTCCTATAGTTTATGTCGTATTATGCACAATAATATTTCTAAATTCTTATTTAAAAAAGTTCATTTTTTATTCAAACTCAAACAGAAGTTGCTTTCTATTTTTAATTAAATGAGTTTATCATTCCAAATCACTTACACTTACTGTGTATTTTTGTTAGTTTCATCAATATACGAATGTTTAGATAACGTTACAATAGACGAATAAATTTATAACGCAAGAAAAACTTGCTAGCACACAAAAATCAATAACTGCTATTAGATTTTATAGCAGAAACTGCAATCAGAGGGGATCTATAATTTCCGATTTATGAAAATTTTTCGCTAAAATTAAAATTCGACCGCTAAAATCTATTAGTCTACTTCTAAATATTAAATTTCTCATATCTTACGATTAAGTTTGGATAAAATCTCACTATAAATTTTAAACGAATTTTTTCCAAACTTTCCAAAATGATTATATTCACTGGATCTGAAAATGTTAATGATTCATAATTATGAGGAAAAATAAGCATTTTTATATTCACAACATTTGTCTTTAACCTAATTTTTCTCAAAGCGTGTTAACTAAGGTAATGATCTCATAACAACTTTGCCAACGAATAAGCCAATCGGCAAGAACAAAGGTTTTAAAATCTGAATTGGAACGACGCCAAAGAATATTTAACATTCCCAACTAAATTATTTACTTGGTAATGTTGTCCCTAATCAACTCCTTCATTTATGAGTTAGGGACTGCCTATAAATGACGTCCACACTGGAAGGGAGGGAGGAAGGAAGGGGGGGAGGAAGGGGGGAGGGGGGTTAAGACAAGTAGGACAAAAATCGGACAAGGGAGCAGAGGTTGAGCTTCAGTGGACGTCCGTATATTTCATTAAAATTTATATAGTTCATGCATTTCATTATATTTATTTCAATATTTCTTGTACATTTCATTTCTATTTATGGTACAGTATCTATCATTCATAAAGTGATAAAGGTTTAAGGAGGGTTGTGACGTCGGAAGTGGGGAGGGCTTTATGGAAACTTGGACAAACTGGGACAAGAGGGGGAGGGAGAGAAAAAAATTTCGAGAAAAAATGCGGACGTAATTTATGGGCAGCCCCATATTTGAGTCTAAATTATAAAATAAAATTATTTTTAATATAAAGATTTATTAAATTTTATCAAATACGTGAAAAATAAATCCCTCGGCCAAATAAAGTATTTTTTCCCTTTGAATCACTTCAAAGTTTTTTTTTCGTTTGCTTGAACAAAAGAAGCAAAAGAGATATTTTTAAAATGTGATGTATACTTTATTCCTTAAAGGGATATTTTTATGACGAAGCTATTTGAGCGAGAAATGCTATCACTGTTTATATATAGGCTACATATCATTAAGATAGTTAATTATCTGAAAATAATTCCATGTAAGTACAAAAGATCATTTCCTGTCATGATAATTATCAATATGTTTAAAATTTTCATATTTATCCCTAGCTGAATCAATATGATAATTTCATCTATGCGAATAAAAAGAATTTCAATATAAACAAATTGTTATCTTTGGACAGGCTGTCTTTCTCTATGTTTACATTAATACAATAATAATATTTACCTTTACAACTTCCGTAATAGTCAACATGTACGTGTTTATATTTCTTATTCGTGCATTCTTCATCATTTTTAGCACAAATACATCTCATTCTATATAATTCGCAATCGCTGTTCCAAGTTTCATTATGATTACTGCAGACCTATATATAGTAACATTTGAGTAAATTGAAAACACAAAAAAAGGTATTCATATTTAAATCAGTGTCTTTACCTTTCTTCTCTCGTCTTTTTCTTTCATGCATTTCTTAACACAAACACATTTTGCTTTGCCATTATCATCAACTTCGCATTCACGTCCAGCTGAACAGTGTACTTTTAGGCAGGGGTCTGTAAACATTATTTCTGATTAAACAAAATGAAACCAAACACAAAGTGTTCAAATTATTATTAGTTATCGCCACTCAGTGGAATGTTAAAAATACCAAGCATACCCGTTTAACAAATAAGCATTTCGCCATTAAAGCACACCCACAATACTGAGATTAAATAGTTTTGTGAGAGTTTCATTAGTGAAAATTTTATGAATAATTTATTAGATTATGAAGTTATTAGTTATCGTTAATGGTTTCTCGGTTTATAATTATGTTATATTTTTGCTCGGGAGAAATTATTTAAATTAATGTGCTTGGATAAGCGAGCACACAATTCAAAAGGTCACTTACGTGCAGATATTTTGGCTGTAACGAAGAAAAATCGGGACGTGAAGATATAGAATAGTAATTTATAACTCGTAAAAATTATTAACATATAAGTTAATTAAGTTCTCTAAACTATGTACTTACTTTCTTCTTTGGGTGTTTCAGTATCGTCATCTTCAGCTATCAGATCGATCTGATCTTTCGATTCTTCATTCTGAATAATAATTATTTTAGAATATTAATTAAATAAACAGCAGCAAGCAACTACATAAAAAAGTTATATTGCTATACCTCTTCTGCCAAACCAGTCAAGATAAGCAACGAGAAGACTAGTAAATAAATGAACTTCATTCTCTCTGTAAAATTAAATATAATAGCTTAAACCAAAACAGAACGACGAATAAATAAACAATTGAACTATAACTAAATTTCTCTGTATTATTTCGCATTCTCTTTTGCTTATTTAAGTAGAGTTACTTTTTTTTTTTTATTCGTTGAAATTCTTTCCAGATGTACATATGTTAAAGCTTAGACTCTTTCATCTAACAAATCTTTTTAATATACTTTTAAACCAATTTGTTTTTAAAATTTTTCAATGCAGGAAGTGTTCGTTTATATTTTAAAATGGGTTATTGACACTTTACTATAAAAATGTTTAAAATAAATGTTATAATAGAACTTAATTAGATTTTAGTTAAATGTGTAATTATCCTCTTTAGAATTAATATTTATTATCATATAATTGTCTAAAAGATAATGATGAGCATTTTTCTCATGTTTCACTAACTCTGTGCTATTTTAGTGAAGAATAACTTCTTATTTTGGTTCATTTATATTTAGTCTACTTGACTATTTACTTGCATAAACTTTAAATAACGATTATTAGCGGCAAAAGAGCTAGGAGAAAAGATGTTAATATGTTTATAAGGCGTCAATGGAGAGTTATCAAAACAGTTTATAGGCCACAAAAGGGTGCTAATTATATATCATTATATTTATTCAAGGCTATTACTGCATAAAAGCGTCGTAAAATATACCATTCTCTCTAATTTATGTATTTCCTGCTAGAAAAATATAATTTTTGACCATATATAATCAGTTAATATATCATTTAACAATTTTATTTATATACAATCCAGTTTTTCGATCGAAGGTTGCATTGCGTAACATTTATTTAAGATAACTAAACACAACTAGCAATTTTTAATTAAATAATAGTAAATTCCTTCTTCATGCAGAATATTTCAAGTGTTGAAGAAGGATTCTGTAGGGTAAAGGTACAAGAACTACTTCAGTCTGTTATAAAGGTCAGCAGCAGGGGTGCAAGACTGATAAATGGTCGTGTAGCAGGCATTCTGCATTGCTGAGTCAGATAGAGTATTCTGCAGTTTAAAATTACTTTTAAAAGATATCTAATAAATATATCAAAATGATAACATTTTGTTTTTAGTAATTTATAACTCAATTACAGAGAGAATTATATTTATTAAACATATATGAAAGAACGTGTATAAAAATAAAATAATTATATATTAATTTTTCCATATAGCCTACGATAATTAATATATGAATTAATTTTCTTTATAATGAAAGTAAATAGCAATTGCATTTGTAGCGACATGCATTTGAATAAATATATCTATAAGATAAAATTTTAAAAATAAATTTTACATAAATAAAGTTATATTATTCCAAGAAATATCTTAATCGTAAAAAAAAAAGTAAAACAAAACCCACATTGAATCTATTCAGTTAAAGTGTGGGTTTTCGTCTACAGAAAATTAAACATCTGTGAATATTTCTTTTTAATTCTCAGAAACGTGCTAATTTTTTCTAATACAAAATCCTCGTTGTTATGTTTATATATCAAAAAAGTCATAAATAATTCACAAAACGGAAGTGAAACTTTCCAAAAAGAATAAGAAAGTTAAAAGAAATTCAGAAAATATCCTTGACTTTTAAGCGTATCGAGTTATAGAATGTCCTTCACTCCGTGACAATAGTCATTAAATACTATAAAATAAACAACTATGCCGTTCCTACGTTTTAAATCAATAAAGAACCAACAATTTAATAAAATGTTTAAAATGGCTTCCTGTCAGCAACCTTGCAAGATAAATGACTCATTGGCCCATTTTAGAAGTCCTTCTAGTGGAGGATGGCCAGAAATTTCCACGCCTTAATATTAAGGAACTATTTTTTTTAAAACTAATATAGATCATATTTCTACTTCATATACGATAATAAATACGAAAATTGCTGCTTTAAAATGAAAAATATTTATCCATTATTTATTTATTTATTAAATGCAAACACAAAAACAAATTTTAACAAAGAATCTAAGTCGCTTTTCTTTGTTAAAATTTGTTTTTGTGATATCTAAGTATTACGTAATATTAATATTTTGGGGGTATTTTATACTTTAAATTAAAATTTACGAGCATTATTTATAGGAAAAAACATATAATAGAGTGAAATATAATGAATTATAAGAAAATATAAACTTTGAAGACAGTCTCTATTTAGATGTTTACTGATAGTCTTTAAATTCGATCAAGAGCTTTAAATGGTCGTTTTTCTTTATAAATAATTATAAATTTGTAATTTATTTTCATTTTCTATAAAAAAATAACCATAAAATTAAAATAATGTTTTATCTATAAGCAACTGTAAGTTAAAATTTATATCATCTTATAGTTGTAATTAAAGTACTTATAAATACTATAATAAGCTTATATAGCTTACTTAATTATTAACTTACTTAATTATAAAGTTAATAAAACTATACTATACGCAAATATAAGTCTGAGGATTTAAGATAAGTTTAACTTACTTTAAATCTTCAGACTATAATTTATTATATAAATGTCTACTGGGACATATAATATTAGTAGAACTTATTATACTGGTTGAATACTAAGACTTATTATACTGGTGTGTACACCAGTGTAATAAGGACACAAAGGCATATGAATTAATAGTTAATTAATTGCTTATAAGTTAGTTATAAAAGTGAAAATTCAAGATAAATTTTAACTGTAAGCTGTTGCAAGTACTATTAATATAAGCTTGCAGTTACAGTATAATTTTATTTAAAGTAACTGCATATTTAAGCATAATACAAGAACATTGAGAAGTTTATTGTTCATTTGATACCTTCTAGACCTTCTTTAACTCGTCCCTGGATTCGAAAATCTGCATAATTATAGCTTTAAGTGGTTATTGTTCAGGGATTTACATTCTTTCTGACTTGAATCATGTATTATGTAGTCGAATACCTCCAATATATAACAGTAAGCCATAATTAAGCCGTAAATATATCATAATGTTACGATTTTGTTATATATTACGACATAAGCATTAAATATTCATTATTTATACATTAATTATCCAAATAATTGATACATTTTTAAACAGAAATTCTCTCACCTGCACCAAACGATATATGTATCTTGGAATCTACGCATGCGTTAATTTTAAAAAAGGAAATTTTTAAATAATAATTATAATATGCCATTCGAAATTTCATTTAACATAAAATTATAATTAGGTTATTAAAATAGCTAAATAATTTACCAGAGAGAGAAAGAGGCGGCCTTAATGTTCTTGAGTTCGGTCACAAAGTCGTCTGAAACTTGAGAATGTCGTCTGCTTCGCCCATACGGAGCCACCTGATTGGTTGATTTTATATTTTCTTTCTCTCATCCGGTTCGTTATTTTCAAAAGTTCTTTCAGATGATCAAATGTTATCCAGATGCTTCCACAAGGACTTTTTGGTGGGTGTTAGGAATTAAATTTTACAGATGAATTTTCCACAATCTTTAACCTTATTATTATTTATTTTTTGTCAGAAAAATTACATTCGATTAATAACAAATGACATTGCACGATAACATATATGAACTACTTTTTTCTTTTAATTTAAATTTTTAAATATCTGACGTCATAAATTTAAATTATTGAAAATTATTACATTTGAGTGCAAAATATTTTAAAATTTTATATAATATAAATAAATATATATATATTTTTTTAAATAATAATTAATTTATTAATATTAGATTTTATATGATCTACATGAGGTAAATTTTTAAATGAAATTAGTTTAAATTAAGGATTTATTAAATAACAAATAAATAAGAAACGTAAATAAATAATTAGGTTATCTAGAGAGAAATAAAATAATAATTTTTGAATGATAAAATTTTGTTTATATATTTACGTCTCTACTACTTTCAATATACAAACAATAAATTTACTTTGATTGGTTGAATTCATTTTTAAAATTGACCAATCGCGTCGAAATGACCTATTTCAGTTTTTTTTCCTTGTAGTTTCTTTAATTTAACACCAGATGGTACTGTGCGTTGTCATCTTTAATTAAGATTTACTACGTAGTTTATATTTAATTATTAAATAAATATTTATAAAAAGTAATAAGAATAAAAAGTGTTTTAAAAACTTTAAACTATTTTTTAAGTATAATTATCGATTATCTGTTCTAGTTCAAGCAACTTCAATAATCTGTTAAAACTAGACATGTGATAAAACATTCATATGACTCATTTCTTGTTTTTTTTTCCCTGCTGTCTATAATTTTGAAATGTATCTTTATTTAAATTATGACTTTATAAATAATGATTCTGTTAATGTTTGATGATACAGAAACAGATGAAAATATTCCATTGTAGATAGCATATAATATTATAAAATTTTTTTTACAAATTAATTTAAATTACTATCGAATCGTTAATATTTTTAAACTTTTCCATTTCAAATGTTGAACAGATTTTGAATTTAATGTTTTCGATTATTAAAAATTGGTAAATTCTTATTCTTCTTTATCTTTTTCTTCGTTTCTTTATTCTTCCTCTTTTCTAATCATACTTAATTTTTTTTGGAGTCTTTGTTTTTCTCTTTCCTCTTCCTTTTTCCCCTTCTTCTTCTTCCTACTCCTCTTATTACCAACTTCCGGTTTTTCATCATCATCCACTTTTATCAGTTTCTTTCTCGTCACTTCGTTTTTTAAAATTTGTTTTTCTTTTCTTTTCGTCTTTACATTCTTCTTTTTCTCCTCCTTTCCCTCTTCTTCTTCCTCTTCTTTTCCTTCTCCTCCTCTCCTTTCTCCTTCGTTTTTTGTTCCTCCTCTTCTTTTCCTTCTTCTTGTCCTACATTCTCCATCCAATAATATTCGCCCAATTTACGAATATATTTACTGAGCTAACCTAGCACATAATTCTTTCCTGAAGAACATAAAACTTTCGTGAATGTAAGGAATTTTATACTTTCGTTTTTACAATATAATTGCTTTACAGCCCTCTGTTACACGCTTGAAAATGAAATAATTTATTATATAAAATTCTCGTTAAACTTGTATATTAACTAGCTCAAATGACAATATTATTTAGTGAGAGAATTCTTATTAAATTAAAGTTTATTAACAAGGGCGATGTGAGACAAATATAATGTAAAAAGAAATATTAATTTAGAGCGTGGTTTTTACTTTCCAGTCATGACATAAATATATTTTTAAATGACAGAATGACATTTTATCAAGATTGAAAAATTGATAAGATTATGGAATTATCACATCGATCCTTCTGGGTCGTCGACTTCAAGAAGAATAGTTATTCCCGTTAGAATTCGATACGATAAGTTTTTCAATTAAAAAAAAATTTAAAAGTTTGATAAATTATAAGTCCTAAAACAAAAATTAATATTAAAACATTAAAAAATAGCATTTTAATTACAAAACCAGCATAAAAACTTTCTAAATTTTTAAAATTTAACATGTTTTATTTCAAAAATGGCGTTAAATTTTAACAATTTGAATATCTATTCTTTAAAATTTTATTTCTTATAATATCAATGATAAAAATCAGTTTTACTACATTAATTAAATTAATTAGTATTAATTGATATTAAGTTATTTACTTATTTAAAAATATTAATATTATCAGAACGCACCACCATCTGGTGTTAAGTTGTTGAACTTATTAAAACGCGATAGGTCATACATCAACGATTGGTTAGTTTTAAATTTGTTAAAGACTAATTTCATTCTTTCAAATTAAAAACTAGAAAAACTTAAAATAAATAAACCGAGAGTATTTTTACGATCATTAAATTGAAAAAAAAAATGTTTTTTTCCCCTTCTAATTACTCTGTTTTCGAATAAATTCTCATTTAATATATCTTAAGACTAACTCATTATTTGTAAAAACATTGAACGGTATTGAGCTAAACATGTAGTAACTAAGGTATTTATTACACGAAACATTAAAAATAATTAGAAAGAAAGATAGAGGGGGAAAAAGAGTAAGAAGACAAACTTGCTTCTTATTTTAATGATGTTTTAACTGCTGAAACTAATCCTCGTCCGTGTATTTGAATCACGAATCTATTAGCTGTGCATGGTCAAAGGAGCATAAAACGTAGTTTTCGTCACAAACTCTCTTACAAATTATTCTTTTTTCTTCTTCCTACTTGCTCTCGAATTAAAAATAATTATAAATTGCGAATCTTTCCGAAACATAATTACAATCTGAATTAAACCTGACAGAAAATTTCTGCCATTTGGTAAATTAAATTCTGACTGTTGTATGCAGTTGCCATTGTTTTAAAATTTGTTTTCTTGTGTTAGAAGCGTTCATTTTGACAAAATAATGTAAATTTTTATGTTAATTTGACGTCATTTTGTCATTATATAAATGTAGGAATGATACCAAATTGACGTAAATTGTATATTTTTCCGATAAATAAGTATACCTATTTATTTATTGGTTGCAATATCTAAAATTGAATGCATTATAATAGAGTTTATAATGTACAGGTTACCTGGCGAATATATTTATCTGAAGATACATAATAGGACTACTCTACAGATAAAGGCATCAGCTTGCTGTTCTGAGGACTATATTCGAGTTGAAATCGGTTCAGAAATTTACTTACGTGGTTTACCCAGATACGTCAAACTTCTCTCATATCAGGCCGCCAAAATCCTCCATCTGTTATCTTGTTCTAATCTGTGATGGGCACGAGAAAAAGTTCTCTTACAGGACAGGAGGATTGTGCCAGTACACAACAAGGACAGGAGGAGTTAATAATTACGGAATACGGATTTTTAAAAGTATAATTATCAATAATATTTGGAGATATAATTGTAACTTTTTTCGCTCTGCAAACATTAAGTGTCTTTTCTCTCGTGCCCATTATCAGTTTGACCGTTTCATGCTGAAAGCACTGGGTTACCACGGATAGGGCCCTATATATCTGGATAAAACTATATAAATTTTTAACGAACGTTTGTGGATTAGAACACGAATTCCAAGAGCATAAGTTGACACCTTCACCGCTTTTGTCAATCATAACTTTCGTAATCGTATCATCATTTTATAGTAACAAACTCAATCAACAGATGTCACTACAATACACGTTATTACTAAAGCAGCACAAAGTTGCTATACACGTATATATTTAAAATAACGTTTGATAATTTTTTACGTGTAACACTATTTTTAGGAACAATTGCCGTATAAAAAGGGGCACAATTCATTTTTAAGCTGAAATTTCTACCAATGAAGCCGGAAAATGCAAATAAACAGCAGAAATATTTTAAATCATAAATAAAATAACATTAAAAAAATTCGAGACGACGACTTAGGTAAAAATTCACGAAAATGTCGCGAGTCATGCATCCGTCCATATTCTATTTAAATAATTTATCTTATATATATATCCAGATGATGATTGATGAGTGGTAATTTCTTTCAACATGGAAAGAATCAACTTATAAATCATCAAATTGTATTTTATTTCGTACTTATATTATCAACGTGACAGGATGTTTCAAAAAAGCATCACCTCACCCATTGGTCGACATCGTGCATCCCATAAGCGAGCGTGACGTAATTTACCAACGACCCCAACATCAATCATCATTTTATGGGGCAAAATCTGCAAAGCAATTAGAAGTTTCAATCTTCGTTGTAACTCCGAGTAATTAAAGATTAGTGGAACGTAATTTACGGATAAATTTTTTTTATATATATTTTTAATAACAGTTGTCCATTTTCTTGATCATTTTTTCCGCGTGTGTGTTACGGAGTAGTTTGCATTAATTAATTAATTAAATTCCTCCAGGCGCTACACGCAATTTTAAGATGGAATTATTTTAAGCATTAAATCTCTTAATTTGTGTGTTTGTCTTTGGTATCTGCGTGCAGTGTATTTGTATAACTGTATAGTGAGTTGTGTTTATAAATGTATGTGGAACGTGTGTTGATGCATGACTATATTGTATGTTTTATAGTTTTAAATATCAACTAAATATGGTTAGCATTCTTAATGTTCGAAGATTGAAAAATATTAAATATAAATATTCGATTTATTATTATATTTATCTAAGAAAAAATATATATAATCGTTTTTACGTGTGCGTTTTCATTTACGTGCTGTTATCGTATCACGTATGGTGCCACATACGATCTATCCATAACTCTATGGCGATCGACTTTAACGTAAATCTATGAACATCTCGTACGCGATATATCGATGTTTCCGCAATCGATTATCGAGTAAACAAAAACAGATTTGTAAATTGTGTATAGCTCTTTATATTACTCTAAATGAAACAATATACAACAATATATACTGTACAAAAGTAACAATACGTTCTCGCTGAGGTTCTAGAGTTTTGTTTTGGTACAAGTGATGAGCAGTGTAATCAAACGAGCGATTGCATCTGCCGGAAGACTTTTCGGCAATATTGCATATTCTACAATTTGAAAAAATCTAGAAAAATTATTTACAATTTTGTTTTTTCCCCCCTCTCTTCTCCTTGGTATTTGCAACAAAGATGCAAGACTTTAGTGTTAATTAACACATGGAAAACATTGTTTTTTCACTTTTAAAATGATACAAATAGTGCATTTCTCGTTATGCAATAACAGTTTTTTGTTTTTTTAACATCAGACAACAAATGTATACATATAATGGTTATTAACAGATGAATATAGTTTTTATGTCCTATTAACAAGGTTTAAAATAAGGGAAAAATTTTAAAAATTAATAAATATGTTTGTTTTTAAACATATTTATTAATTTTTTAATTTTATCATCATCATTTTCGAGTCTGATATTGCACCTTTTGATAAAGTATTTTCCCCCTGTATTTTGTACTATAAACATACTATTGTTATTATTTCTTAAATTATCTGCAAACAATTGTTGAACACTGCATAAAAAGTGAAAGAGCAAACAATGGAAGATAACAATAACAGAATCCGTAAAACAAACAAATAAGAACATTTACGGCATTTTTCTTTGTGTTAATTCTACTCGTTCGTTGGAAAATAATTTAAATTTTTCTTCTCTCCTGCTGCAGTTTTAACATTGTTAAATAGTTTACACTTATTTACAAATTTCTGGTTGCATTTATGAAGAGTTGTAAACATTTTTTTCAATAAGTCATACACATTAAATTAACATAAAAAGCATATTTCAATATAATGTTTAAGGGGTGAATTACGCAAAACTTACTATTCTACTCTTGTGTACGATTGGTGATATCGCTAAAGTGAAAAAGCCTAATTACACTTAAACAATCGACTATACATTTCTTTTGTACTTTGAAAGAGTAGTTATATAAAAAACATATTTGTTTTTCATCTTTTTTATAACTAGTTACGACCTTTTTTTTCTGTTTTCTCTCTCCCTCCTTTATACAGTATAACAATTCGAAAAAATTGGAGATTTTGAGGATTAATTTTAAAATCTGATGGCCATTTTCCATAAACTTGAACATTATCGCTTTGTGACTTGATTATCTTCCTGATTTTTTAAATTTATTAATTATATCACAAAGTTCAATGCAGCCTCATTGTGTTATTGTTTTCTTCTTGACTGGATAGCGATGTTAGAATAAATAGTTTCTCACAGCCAGGAACCAACATGTTTTTCTACAGCAGAAGCCGCATCGCACCTTCCCATCACTCTAAGAATGTTCAACAAGTCTGTTAAAGCAACTGCATCTCTGTTCCTCGCTTCCCAAAGATCCAATATTTGATCAGTGGGGCTTTTCTTTGTAGCGAAGTAGTTAATGTACCTTAAATGTCAAAAATCAAATTACTCGTGTGAAAACTTCATCATGAAAAGGTAAAAGTAAAAAAGTAAATTACCTATCGACCCCCAATTCTTTCGCCAGTCTCCTCCAATCGTTTCCTCTACTATTGGGAGGATCTAAGCAGATACACAACTGTTTCCTGACGGCGGAACTCAACCTAGAAACACCATTAACGGGAGTTAGTAACAAAGAAAAATTAATTAAAACTTTACACGTACGAGCAGGCTACTACCTGAATCCTTCTGAGGGTGCATCTAATTTTACTTGAGTATTAGATCCGATCGACGTGACTATTGACTGAACACTTCCAGGATTAGACGGTATTTTCTAAAATAAATAAATAAATATTCGAGATATTTCATTTAGGAATGCGGCATTAGGAGGAAGTTCGTGAAAGTTTTATGCAATGTTAGTAAGCTTTGACAGCATTTTACCTCTTTCAAATCTGTGTTAATCCTCAACAGCTGCCGATGAGCTTGCGTTCCTCTTTGATAAACAAGAACATTACAACCGATCATTTGAATGGATCGGTCAATATGCTCTAAAGTGAACGAGCAATGGAGATTATTCTGATGTCCACTCCATACGTGAAGAAACGGGATTTCCTGAAAAAATAACCCAATTAAAATCTTTTCGAAACTGTGCCAAGATCGTTAACTAAATAAAATTTCCGCTCACCAACCTGATAATTCGATCCTGGTTTACACTTCCATCCGGGACCAATATCTTCTAAGCAAAAACAGAGATTAGCACCTCCATCGTGGAACAGCATTGTCTTTGGACGGTCTAAGAGTTTACCACCAATTTTTTGTTCTATCTGGACTACACCCTGTTTGTATAGAGAAATTCGGAGTGTAAACAAACAAACGGCAGCAATTTCATTCAATACAGTTTAAAGATAAAAGCACTACACGGAATTGCTCTTATCAAAAATAGATTCTTTTTATTATTATTTCGTTCTGACTTTTGAGAACAGAAATCATAAAATTCCGTTATTATATTTAACGTTGTTTAGTGTATGACATCAAATAGCCATAAATCAATCAAACTGAGTGGTTGTTCAACAAGAATGTGTAACATTATAGTGAAACCAATTAACAACTTGTCTCTCAAATGTCTGAATATCCATTTATAAACGCAGTTTATAGTAATTTGATATTTATCACAGGAAATGTCAGAAAATTTATATTTCGCCATTTCTTAATCTAAACTGCAAAAATGGAGAGAAAACGATCGATAAATCTGACAAATTTGCCAATCCTTTTTTTGTATGGTAATGTTTATTTCTGTGAATTGAAAATCGTTGTTTCGATCGTGTACCATCTGATATTTAACTTTGCAGAGTTCATTTCTGCATCGATCTTTGTACCGGGTAGTTGTTCTTGTGTACTGCAGTCTTCCCCCACTGACTAATTAATGTTTAATGTTGGATCAATGGGGACGAAGCTCGCGAGCTTTATCAGAATTAAAGCTAGATTCTGGTAGAGTGAATTTCTTATTTTTACAAATGTTAAAAGTTTTCGAGTTGAAATTTAAATTACTACTTCTTGCCCAGATGCTCCACCCATGTATATTTACGTCACAGCGACATAAGGGCTACAATATACGGTATACTAATTATTAAGCGCTACTGGTTTTCGTGCGTGCATGACAATTCATTTGCGTAAGAATAACTTATGAAGGATATTCTATTATTTATAAAAATTTTTATAATTGTACCTTTCGCAATTAGGTCAAGAATATGATTACATGATTACAAAAATGCAGTCCAGTATGAGTTATGAACCGGTGTAAAAATGAGAATAAAATCCTTTTGTATAATGAAAGCTGCCCGAGTTGGTATTTGTTAACGACATCGCCTATTAAATTTGCATATCTGTATAAAGCTAAGATTTAAAGAGGAAAAAAGTATCGTTCTTGTTCTATAAATCGTGTAAATGCGCGAAAAATGTTAAGTAAATGGCGTCAGTACGATCTTTATGAGAACTTACTTCTAAGGCAGCTTGTGTTGCTTCTATACAATACAAGCGTAGACTGTAATCAACGGATGAATGAAGATAAGGTGCGAAGGCTGCTAGAGTTAACGATTTTGTGGCTTTACAGCCAGATTTTGATTCACCGACCAGGACATAACGAGCCAGATTGTCTATTATTATATGGCACTGCTTCAAATCCAACTGGCAGTACAAGTTGGTGTTGATCGTCTCTCGACCTACAGTAACTAAATTCTGTCGTAAAAAACAGCAAGAAAAAAAATCTAAATATGTATCGACGTTATGTAATGTTATGCAATGTATAATTATATCGAAATTATAAGGTACAAACCTGCCAAATTGGACTCTCCTCTTCTGGGCTACTGTCACTTTTATATACATTAAATAAATAGTTTTCATGGTTTAAAGCACAATGTTGAAAACTAAGAATAACAGGTTTATTAAACTGTAAATCAGGTGGTCCACATTGAATGACCGGACTCAACACTGTTGATTTATCTGAAACATAATTATAATGTGAAATACAAAAAAAAATGTGATGAGTAAAACAAGACTGAATATTATCTACCTGGCAGTTTAGGTCTGTCTTTATCATCCCTTAATATAGCTATATATATATCTTCTCCTGAAATATTCTTAATAGCACCTTCTGGTACAGTTAACGTTATACCTAATACAAAATTGAAGGTAGTACAACTTTATTTTTTTAAATTGAAAATGAAAGATTACAATGCTATAAAATAGTAATTTACCAGACGAAGGCAACTCAATTCGTCCACCACATTTTGAGATATGACTCCATGAAACACATTCTGTTTCCAAACAAGATGGCAACTGCGACATGACCGAGTTTCTAACCGATGGCGCTATTGAATCGTACGTCGAACTATGTTGAGAGCCTAAGAAAGAAAAAATTTTTTCACTCATTAAAAACTAAACAAAACACATTTAAGAACATTTAAACAAAAGATTTACATACCTAACAACATTGGGGAATCTACAGAACTAGACTTATTACTAAAGTTAATGATCTCTGGCGGTTGAGATTCTAGTAGAGGTTCACAATTCTGTCTTTTGCAGCAGATATCACCGGAAGGATAAATTGGAGCTGGATAAAAAAGTGGAACTAATGGACTTCCATTTTCTATTCTGCCGAGGACAGATTTTGTAGAATTTCCATTGTTGTTATGGCAATTTTGTCTAGTGCTTTGAGTTAAATCTGGCTGAACTAAAAAACAAAACGTAAATATTTAGTTTTGTATTCGTTGAAAAATTATATTCACACAAAAATTAGAATGAATGAAAAATTAACCTGTAACAGGCACACTATATATGGAAGAATCGTGACCTTTAATTTTTCTGACCAGCAAAATGATCATGATGAGTACGATGATAAATACAGCAATGGCAACAAATAAACCAACGTACAGGGATATATCGACGTCGGGTTGAGAAGGAGAAGCTGAAATATTTAATTTATTTATGTATTATTTTACATAATAAATATATCAAAATTTTCGAGAACGCTAAAATACATTATTTTAATACTTTAAAAAGTCAGAAAAATAATTTTATGGTGTTTACGTTATTACGTTTAAAAATTCATCTTTTCGCCGTATTTAATACTTTGAAATAATAAATTTTTAATATTTCTCTTTTAATATATGTGAAATTTTTATTTTATATTGTGTCGTAACGTTTATAAATACGATACACTTTAAATTTAAAGACTTTTCGAATGTAAACTTTTAAAATTTAAACACGTTTTATGGTAACTTTCAATTAATTTTTACAACATTCGAAAAAAAGAGTAAGATAAATAAAAATTCCACACAATGTAAATCAAAACTATAACAAGCTAGCCATATTTCAACTGAGATGGACTCATTTGTCAAACGGAAGGGGGTAGAAAGAGCGGAAGAATTATGGCTCAAACGATGTGGGGTGTCCTACTTAAAAATGAGGGGGCGTTTAAGGCCCGAAGCTTTCTTTAAATACTCTGAGCTCTACCTTAAATACCCCAAGATAAGCTTCTGTTGTCATGTTTAAAACAAACAAGTCACATATTCTCATTGAAAATAGCTCTTGGTTAAGTTCCATTTTCAGTTTACAGCCAACGTTCCTCATACCTTCCTCCGTTCTTCCATATATTAAAGGGCTGTCATTCATTCTTCCAACTAGAAGCGAAGGGAGGAAAAACGAAAAAAAAATTAATACTGACAAAAATGTTTTTCAAATTTTAATACGGGTTAAATTATTTTAAATATTTACAGAACGATCATATAAATTCCTCGAATCTCTGATCGTTAATTCCAATTATTATTATTAAACATACCTCTACACATTCCATTTGTGCAGTTGGCGGTAGCCAAATCTTTGCCCGGACAATACCGACCACCGTTGGAAGGGGGAGGATTAGTACAAGAACGACGTTTGTGATGTCTACAATCAGGACTACAAGTAGACCAAGAGGACCAACTCGTCCATTGACCGTCTTCAGCTACAGAGGGAAGAAATAGAAAAAAAGTTAAAAATCAGCAGATGTACAAGAACTCGTCCGTTCCTTCGAATAACAAGGAGGTTTTTATGCTATGAGGATACTCTCAACTAAACATAAGGACTAAAAATAATTCTACAGTACTTTTTGCTAGTTGTGATAATTAATTGAGGTGTTATCTTCACACGAAAGGCTAAATCAGCGAATAATTCTTTGCTTCCATCCTTCGGATCACGATAACATCGCATCATAAAAATACCCACGTGGGTGAAAATTACGAGGGTAGAGCAAACGTTCCAGTGTTATTTTCAGGAATTTCACATTCCAAACTATCATATAACGAGTGTAAAATTTAAAACTACAGGGGAAAATGGCTACGAAACAAGTTACTTTAAAACAAAATGCAGATGTTACATCCGCCATTGTTGTTAGGCAACAACCGAGCAAAATGCGTGTTTGGGATAATCTGATCTCGACTAATTTGTCACATTTTATCACAGCGGAGAGATAACATTAACGAACGAGCATTAGTGATAAGGCTGTTGTGTTTTAATTAGTCTGCAGTTAAACAATTGCGAAGATAGTGTCGGCAACATGCTATAAAAAGGGAGCACGATTAAAAAGTAATTCTTTCCAATGATAATTATCGCACGGATTCTTTTCCAGGAAGACACAAACAATTCAAAGAAAGAAAGATTGAATTATTAGAATGTGCATATAGCAATCGTGAAATTTCCTCCATTTTTTAAGCGAAAATTCGGGAGGGGGAAGCAGTGAGCGATGATAAAATTTCTAATCCTACCCATTTTTGTGTTCGTTCCCAAAATTATCGCGATTTAAGTACGAATTAAAATACAAAAGCCACGTTAAAAATTCTATTCAAATTCGAGATTTTACGATTTATCAATGCAATTTGTGATCTTATCTTTTTTCCTTCTATTTAAGAAGCTGGAGAACAAAAAACGGTGCTCAAATATAAAAAAAGCCATTTGTCGGTTTACAGTGTTTCCACACCAGGAGATAAGCCTCTTTCAAAATATGACGTTTCTCATTTAATGACAATTTGATGTTTCAAAAGTGATGTGGAGTAATGACGTGATCAGCATCCTCGCTAATATGCTTCCTTTCCTCGGTGTCATTTTATGTCAACCGAAAGGAGGAAATTTGAAATTTTACTACCAAAACTTTCTACCAGAAATCAATTTTTCTTATACTTACATATTTAAAGTTTCTTACGATCGAGTTAAATTTTATAAAATCAGCCCAAGCTTTTATAATAATAAAAAAAAACTTATTCCTTATACTTCTGGGCGAGTTCGATTTAATGTTCTGGCGAATATTATTAAAGTTGGGGTCTTATGTGCCAAGTCGTGTGAATGGTGGGTTAACTATTCTACCCGGTTCTTTGTTTAAAATCAATATAGGCTGACTTACGAGGGCACAAATTGGTGCAGTCGATCCTTTGTGTGGCATCACCTAGGCACTGTTCTCCTCCATTTAATGGGGCAGGATTGGTGCAGAGTCGATGTCTCGTTTGAATTCCACGACCGCATCTAACACTGCACTCGTTCCAAGGGCTCCACGATGACCATTCTCCATTAACTAAAAAAAAATAATAAATTTTATAAAGTGAAGCAAACTAAATACAATTTCCTTAATTACACAAAAGGCAGATGTTTAGTAACATCTGCCATAGAGCAGATGGAACGTTTAGTAAAGCAGCTACGTTTTAATACGGAAAGAATTTTTGGAATTTATTCATTAATGTGCGTGTGCAGTAAATGTTATCTATCCTAATGTAAATAAACTTTTTTAAGAAAAAAAAGAACAGATTTCCAAGAATTCTGCAGAAGCTATTGAAAGAAAGTCACTCTTGCAGCACCAAAGTCATAAAATAGGTAAGCTAGAAGGCGAGGATAAGGCTATACCTATGATTTCGACAAAAGCAATGGATCAGATTACTTTGCCTGTAGGAGGTCATATCGGAGGAAGGAAGACCCCTAGTGCTAGCTGCGGGAAATGACAGATGGATCAAAAGATGCAAGACGTAAACTGTCAGCGCAGTTGGGTCTGACTCGAAATTCTAAAGTTCAGCTAGGTCAAAATGATGTCACGATCTGCCGACGGATGATAAAGTGGTTATACGTGATAACAGCGAAAAACTTTCCATTCTTTTTACTACATTAACATCATTATAAAGAGAGGCCCTCTTACCATCAAAATAAGCTCTTCAATCTTTATTATATAGGGAAATCGTTGGCATACAAGAGAAAGAAAGCTCTCGAGTGGAGAAACGGGGTTCGAATCAGTCGATAGAAACAAAAAAGAAAGCAAACCGAGAAAGAAAAGAACACTCAAAATCGTGTTTTCTACTTGTTAAGCGGTTGGCAAAACTAATATCAAAGGAAACATTTATCAATGTCGTGTCCTTATTCCACTATTTCTTACCACTTGACGGAAACGTAGCTGCATTCTGGCGATAAGGTACTTCTTTCGTTGCGCAAAGACAATAGTCAAACAACCAACCTACTAAATATTTCTTAAAAATATTCCTACTTAAAGAGACTTCTTAAACAGATATAACCGTGTATTAATCAAAATCTACATGGTAATTTTTATATATTATCCTATTAACATTGGCATTGTTCGTTTCCCCCCCTCTTACGACTTTACATTTTGTATTCTTTCGGCAGAGTGAAATCGTGTTTTATGTTCAACCTTAATAACACGGTCAAACGCAGGCAGAAGTCGTTCATCAGATGGAAATCAAGCCCTTAAGGATCTTTCAGATGTTGGGTGGTTTAGTTGGTTTAACAAGACGGATGATACAACATCCCCAAGGCCACGGTAAGGACCCAAGTTCATTTATCGCGCCGTCGATTGAACGTCTTAGTATATACTATTTTAGTAATAAAAACGATGTAAAAGTTATATATCTAAATTATTTATTTAATAAATAAATTATCATTGGGTAAAAGATTTTGTCGTGCCTGACTTTATTTCTATGACCTGGATAAGATCAAGACAGTTTGATAAAAATAAAACCCCATAAAAACATTATTAGAAAATATTAAATTTTTCCAGAATATTTACAAAGGAAAAAAACTAGAATTTTCAATGTCTTTTCTATTAAAAAATTTGAATACAAAATATTAATATTTTAAAGAATTTAAGAAAGGGAATGAAGACCATACAAATATTCTATATTGAATTTGACGTTAGAAAAGATTATTTCCGCTGAAAACCCAGAGGAAAAAAAAGTAGCAAAATATTGCCATTTTTATCCATGAAAATAAGCGTAGACTATCCTTTGGGATGGAGTTTTATAACAGACTTTTCTCTCTTTCTATGAAATCATTCATCCCTATTTCACAAAGAATGAGTTTTTCTTCACCCTCTATTAATTTTGCTCACAAAATGCGAAAAATTTTAATAAATAGAAAAAGTACAGTTAGCCAAAGAGAATTGACTTGCTTAAAAACACGCACTTTTTTCAATATCTACTAACATTTTAATTTTCTAACTCGTTCGATTCCAAAGAAGAAGAAGAAAAAGAAGCTGTTACGGAATATCGAATTAAAAAGATAAGCGTCCAGTTCCTGGAGTAACGTACAGTACATTCTTACGTGTTACTTCAGGATGTCGATACTTTCTCAACCCAGGAGAGAAATTATAAAAATTCACTCACGTCTGCCATCTTGTTAATATGGCGTTGGACGGAGTCGGCAGTTTGTTTAATTCGAATTTTTCATATATCCTACCTCGTTTAAATCTTCAATCAAGAGTATAGATAACCGATAAGATTTTTTGAATCGAAACGGCATGTAAAAAATGTCATCATCTAGCGAACGAGCACGAAAAAAAGAATGAAAAATAATTTTAGTTGAGTTAGTAAATGGAATGCAAAAACGAAAACAAATAATGCCAACGTTGTTAAGATGAGAGGGAATTATTTTTTTTTTCTTTTTGTTATGTCAACGATCGACCTTGAAAACGTCCGATCTTTGTCTGCTTGGCCTTCATAAATATCAACACGAAACCGGTTGTGGTTTCGAGCCCGGTTTGTACTGAAGATATTTAGGATTTCCGACAAGTGACGTCAATTTCGGTAGCTTATCTTCCATCTACAAAAGTAGCAATCCTTCAACACTATCAAGTAAACTAGAACTAGAACCAAGCCCTACTTCGAAACCCTCTTTTAGACACAGTAGACTTAACTTATAAGAATTTTTTTTTTTACCTTTTGAAACATAAAACAATAGCATATTAAAACATTTTTTGATTATAGAGCAGTGGCGTGCAAAGGATGCCATTTGCGACTATAATAGTTTTATTATATCTCAGACCGTTCTAAATCAATTGTTAAACGAACAACAACAGACAGGAATTGCTGACAGTAATACATCTAGAAACCAAGGTTTTTTTTTTTTTTTTGTCGTCCCCTACAAAAACACCCGAAAATGTCTGAAATTTTAAAACTAGCGAAAAATGTTCGCAGAAAGCAGTATAACAAATATTGTAACTAGTCATTTTTTACTTTTCAAAAACAGAAACCTTTTTAAAAATAAAATTCCTGACCATAACTCATAAAAGCAAAACATTCCAGAACGTAAAAGCTATCATTTCGATACTTTACACAGAAACGACAGCACTAAATTCAACGTTTTGGTCAATGTATAGTAATCATACTGTTGATGGTTTCAATAAAAAAATTTCAATTCCTAAGAATCTTACGAAAGAAAAATAGAAGAAACGACACCGTTGAGGATATAGAAGAGGAATTGACTTACATCCCACAGATTTCCGCTTTAAAATAGACCTTTATTTTCAAACTATATATCTTATCCTAAGTAATGTTCGATTCTATCGACATAGACTTTAAGAGTATTGAATATGTTTAGACCACATGACGTCGTAAACATTTATAAGTGTTTAGTGTGAATAAACGATAATGGTCGGCGCATTTATTGTTCAGAGAAGAGGAAAATTACTCACCGTACACGGTCAAAACGGCAGTTTCGATGAGTCTTTGATTGGCCAAGTTTCTCACACCGCAAGTGTAATTACCCATATCTGATAAACGCACTTGACTAATTAACAGATTTCCTTTGTTGGAAATAATAAAATTAGGATCTTTGTACGTGTCGATCTGCTCCCCGTTCTTAAGCCAGAACATTTCTGGAGTCAGTACACCGTCGGGTGGTANTGAATATGTTTAGACCACATGACGTCGTAAACATTTATAAGTGTTTAGTGTGAATAAACGATAATGGTCGGCGCATTTATTGTTCAGAGAAGAGGAAAATTACTCACCGTACACGGTCAAAACGGCAGTTTCGCTGAGTCTTTGATTGGCCAAGTTTCTCGCACCGCAAGTGTAATTACCCATATCTGATAAACGCACTTGACTAATTAACAGATTTCCTTCGTTGGAAATAATAAAATTAGGATCTTTGTACGTGTCGATCTGCTCCCCGTTCTTAAGCCAGAACACTTCTGGAGTCGGTACACCGTCGGGTGGTAAACACTGGAGAGAAATTTGACCATCAATCTCAACGCTGGTACTCAAAGGCTGATTGATGAAGATCTTTTTCAAGTCTATAAAAATTAAGTAAATATAAATTTTTGAATAAATTTCATAATGAAAAAAATCAAAAATTTAAATTGCAAATTTACATAAATATATAATAAAATTACAAAAGTTCTCTTACATATCTTAAAAGTGAAGCTAATTTATAACGCGTCGGCTAGCTTTTTTAACATGTTGAGTGCGTTTAAAATTAATTATCATGGTTATAAACTTTTGTATTAAATATAATTTATTGTGTTTTTATGTTTTACTTATACAGAAAGTATTTGTTTTTTTTAACTATAAAGGTAATACAGAAAATTTTATTTGCAAAATGTAATTTAAAAAACAGAAACTGAAGGACAACAGTAAAAGTGGGAATTCTTAGCGCTTGAAATCGCCTACCAGTGAATGTTTTCGGTTACATATTACGAAATTACTTGGCAGCAATCACAAGAAAGTTAATCACAGCAGCTTGTCGTACGAGGTCGATCTCTCTCTGGAGAGAGGGCATGAACGATTATTAAGAAAGTTTATTAATCATTTAATCTATAAAAAAAATCAAAACTGAAAAATATGCTAAACAAATTTATAGAAAGTAAGCAAACATTTTTCTAAAGAAAAGAGGAAGAAAAAAATATTTTTAAATTAATTCTAACTTATAAAAATGCAGATTAATTATAATATTTTTTTATTTTTTTGAATTAGAAAAAAAAAGGTTAAACATTTGCATAATTTCTCTTTCCTCGCATAAAATCATTATTAAACTTTTAAACAGTTTAAAGTTTTATATAAATGGATAATTTCATTAACTTTTCGGATAAAAATTAATTATTGAACTATTTTCCGAGTTAAGCAGGTGAATTTTATATGTATATGTCTTATTTCATAATTAAAAAAATCCGGATATGTAGACAAATCTATAACGTGAGATTTCTTCCGTACGACTTCTCCAAAAGCGTTTATGAGTTAGGGTAACGTACAAACAACCCAAAGCAATCTCATAAATCTTTGTCCCTTGAGTAACAGAAAAAGAAACAAAAAACAATAAAAAAAAAGCATTTGATTGAGGATAAAAAAAATACAAAGATCAATTTCAGAACGAGTTAAAAGATATCTCAATGTCAAAAGGTGTGGGTCTTACTCTGACAAGAACATGTGGTGCCTAATTGTCTTCTATCTATCAGACTTTGTCGCCAATTTGACCCATCGTGAGGAGTAGGAACAATTGATCTGACCGATCACGTGACACACCATCGGTCATCATTGTCTGGACTTTTGTGTCATTAGGTCGAAATGTCAATGATCTTTTCTTTTTCCTACCCTCTATCGTCTCCTCGCTAAATAATCTAGTTCCTTAAATAACTAACTATACATATAAACTACAAGAATATTTAAGAAAGTTTCGGCATTCCTTTTGTACTGTACGTAAGCCGGAGATAATGACTTTTTAACACGTGATAATGGATTCTTTAGTTATAGCTCACGTAATACTCTTAACGAGTAAGGACGTACTGTACATCGAAGAAGTTATATTCTTTTTTTAAAAAAGGGAAAAAAATCTTTTCAAGATTATAGTCGTTCTCTCGAAATTTACTTGTCATTTCCATTTTTAAAAATAGAATAACTTGATTTTATGAAGAATTAATCACCAGATATGTCAAATCCCGATGTCTAAATGGAGAAGAACAGCTCTCGATCGGAAATGTGTCGGAAATGTTGAGCTATAACCTTCTTTAATGTGTTCTACAGGCAGGAAGAATCGATTGAAAATTTCATTGAGAAATATTCATATTAAACTTTTCTACAAGATGCGATATGTGTGTACAGTACATAAATATCTGAGTACAAGTTTAAAACTTGGCCTCGAACACCTCTTTACACTTCTAAACATATCGAAAAATATAAACACATTCCGAAAGATATCAAAACGTAAAAAAGAAAAAGTATAACTGAACTTTAAAACTTTTCACATCTAACTTTAAAAATATAAAATAAGAGTTGCCCTAAAGGCCTAGTCGTGAGAAAATTTTTATAGAATTTAATCCCCTTGTTTTTTTATACGTTATATAGGTAGCAGGGCATTCACTTTTTTTCTTTTTTTTTAATTTTATGACACGAATATCCGAATAACTTCAATGTTCACACAGCTGTTGTTGATGATAGTTTTTCCGTCGTCATAGAAACCAGGTGAATTTTAAACAGAAAACACACAGAATACACCACTCCGAACCCCCTCTCTCTTTTTTTCCTATCATTTTATCGAAAGGTGAATATTAAAAAAAAAAGTCAGCTGCACTCAACTGCCAAATCTTTTCTCCATCTTTCAGAATCCTAATTCCATTACAGAGAATGGCAAAAAACAATAGTTAATATATATATTTGCTCCCCCTTTCTGTTAGTAAGAAAAATTGATTACATCCAGAGAAAACAAGAAAATAAAAGTGGAGCAACAAGAGACTTTTGTGTATGTCAGAACGGGTAGCGAAAGAACAATGTGCTGTCGAACTTGAAGATTGTAAATGATCTGAAAGATACGAACAACAAAGTCCATTTAGAGAGACTTACATTTCTTTTCCACTTTTTGGGCATTAAAATCAATAATAACTATGGACTACATAGTTATCTAGATAGGATTTCACTCACTCATTTTCATAAGTAAACAAGGAACTCAATCGAACTGCAAAAGAAGTTAACAGTACGTAGCACCTGTCTCTGAAAGATCACCACTGAAGTCAAGACTTCCTGTAATTAAAAGAAAGCCATAAAAAGGTTTTCGGAGCTGGTACTGCTCTGTCGACATGTCCTCTCCATTACAAGAGAAAGTTCCTCGTGTACAAACGTATAACAAGGAGCGTATGACCTTGGTTTCCTTCCCTTTTTTTATAGGTTGTAGCAACTGTTAATTATTGATCTGTCGGATTTGTAATCTCAATAAAAACATCACAGTCGTGTATAACAATGGAGGAAAGTCTATTTCGCTTTCTTCTGACAGAAACGATTTTTCTTATGACACTGATCCTTTTGAACAGTCTATTATAGCGAAAAATAGATAATTATACGGCACAGATGCCTTTCTAGGATAATAAAAACATAAATCATTTTCCTTATATAATTATTAAAGAGGGGGAAAAGCTTATATACTGTATATAAGTTTCTCTTAAAATGATTAGATTTTGTCCATATGTATGCCATAATGCGTTATGAGACATTCACAAAATTGATAGATTAATTCTAGAGAACTATATACTTTCCAAGAAAGGCTTGGTAAGGGCGAAAAAGAAAGAAAAATATGCTACTATTTTCGTAGTTGAATTTTGTATTTTTAAATAGAAATATAAAAACATCTGCACATTTTTACTACGGCTACGCGCCTCTTGAAACTCCAAATAATACAAGACTAATTGTCGTTTGGAAGATAGGAATGGAAAGAGTAAAAAAGAAAAAAGGATGAAGTGGAAATAACCGTTTTCTGTAAGCCTTTCAATTACAAAAGGTTAGTCGGATGTAAGAGGATAAAAGAGATCATCTTGTTCACGATTGGAAATGTCAAATTCGATCAAACGCCTTCGCTCTAATAAGAAAACGAAATTTATCACCGGCAACAACTTTTTTCCTTAATTTTTTTTTTAACGTTTAGATCTAAAAACGAAGAAGTTTTTATTTTTAAGGAAGAGAAAATAGGGAAAGAAAGTACTTACAGGAAGCTCTAACGATGGCTTTTCTGCTCTTAATTTTACCGGTAGAAGACCAAGCATGACAGAAACACGTGTACAAATCGAAATACTCGTCCACTTCATCTCTACTGATGTCAAGGCTGACTTCTACTTGTGATATTCCTGTCATGGGATCGACGTATTGCTGTTCATTTGCGTGATGCATTTCTTTACCGTTGCAGAGATAATAAACATGGAGGGCATGACGAGCTTTGCACCATAATCTTGCAGCACGATTTCGGAGGGCATAAGTATCTTGTGGCTCTTCCAAAAACATTGGCGTGGTCGATGGCTCGCTATCTTGAATTGGGAGTGGTTCGAGGAGTAAACCACCTGTAAATATGTCAAAGAGGAAGGAAAAAGAAAAGTTTTTCATCCCAAATAAATAATAATAATAATTTAGCAATTCACTAATTTTCATAAATATTAATTAATGACTTCTAAAGAAACAATTTATGAACGGAAACAGATTATAACAATAAAATCTGAATCTAGTTAGATTTCTAATCGATTGAATTAGATTTAATTTAAAAGTGAAAAATTATATATAATTATTTAATTTATATCGGCACAGAGATATTATTATGATTATAATTATAATAATATCATTAACCCCGAAATTCAAGTTTATTCTATTCAAACTCCCATACAACTCTCCCGTTGACCATTAAAATCAGATGTAGTACTAAAATTAGTACGGTAAACAGAGTAAAATGACGGTATAATATATTTTAAAATTATATTAGTTAAAATTAAGTATTAACTGTTAATCGCTTATTTCAACCCAAAAAAGGGGTGAAAAAAAGCGTAACATTCTTCGAATCTGAAAGGAAATCTCTTCGAACCGATCCCTGATATACAATCCTCTTCCGGTTCAAAATAATCCAAACAACTAAAACTATCTTCGACACTAATAAAAATGGAAACCAGTGATGTCAGCTTGCCAAAATTTCCTTTTGGCCCCGCTGGAGTAACTGAATGGCATATTTTCAATTGAACGAGATAACATCGCCAACAGTTTATGTACACAATGTGACGGCCTGTAAAGATATAGATTCTCATTTCGGGCACTCTACAGTGGCCATCTTCAAAACAATGATTAAGAAAAAATCCTGGCCAATCTATATACCGATTCGACGTACAATTTGCGATAAATTTGTTCTAGTAATTTTTGAACAGTCGCGGACTATTGGTAGTGATTCCTCTACATTTCCACAAATCGATTGACCTCATAACCGCATAAGCAGTTTGTAGTTGAAACTAAATAGAGGAAAAAACAAAAATGTTGGAATGAACAATTTAGAAAAATTTTATCTGTTAAGTAACCTAAAATCAAATTGGAAAGTATAGAAGAATTTTTATTGTCCATTACAAATAAAAGCTTTTATTATTGTCGAGGAATAAACTAACTACACCATTTTATCCCGTTCATCCTTAAATAAATAAAATAAATATATATATAAAATCTAAAGTTTATAGAATTTAAGTATATTGAACTCCGCCCAATACGGTTTTAACGACAACAGCTTATTTTCTAAAAATATCTCGAAGTATCCGCCCAATTGGATGCTTCGCTAGCTTCTATTCACTCTTTTTTACTCGGTCTCTCGAGGATACTTTTTAATCTTTACTGGGGTTTGTTCGCTATATCTGCACTCCGCTCACTCCGCTTCCTGTAGCCGATCCCACTTTCTAAAAATAGATTCCATCCCAACCGTATCCTGTAGGGAATACTTTTAAGCCCCTATATGGTCTCTTCACAACATCACTACTCCGCCCATTCGATGATTCCAGCAATTACTAATAGCGGTAGCTAGAAATTCTTCCAATTAAGTTGTTCCACTTCGAACTTTTTATAACGCAATCGGCAATTTTTTCTCTGTTTTTTTTAATATACTCGTCCAAACTAGTGTTTTCCCTGTTAAACTAGAAAGCATAAAAAACACTCAGCATTTTTAATATGAAAACAAAAAATTACAACAGATGCTTATTAAATAATCCATAAACAGGTGAGAAGATCCAACAATTGCCAAGATCGATAATGATACAGGTTTTTCTCTTATACGATTTTGTGGGTTGCACATCGAGTATGAAGCCCGTAACAGCTTTCGATTTTGTATTATACCACTTCAGTTGTCGATTTCCCCCCTCCCTCTTTTTTTTAATAGTAAGAACACTGATTGGATCGATGATACTATTCGCACCTATCTCACTCATACGTCTAAAGCAACACCTTTATTTCCTCCTCCGTTACTGATATCTGCTCTCTGCCTATCGATTGATGTACAATGTGGTCAGTCGTCGATATCTCTGACAATGTCGATCATGCATAGGGGATGACACCAAAAAGGATCACTTGCTGGAATAAAATTCGTTAAAAACTGATTTTTCCCCCTGCGAAAGTACTACACATTCGTGTACACTCTTTATTTTAGCGGGGCGTATCCTCTTCTGGAATAAGATTTAAAGCATAATTGAGGGATAAACATGTAATTTATCATTAATATCCATTAAATAAAGCGTTTTATTATATTGTGAGCGTTAAAGCGTATCTTAACAGTAAAAAAAAATTAAACCACACTTTGTAATTTTTCCATACGGTAATCGAACGTTGTCAACTATATTAATTCCTATATATAGATACGTTAACATACCAGAAGGGTTTTCAGAGCAATCCATATTCTTTCGAGGACGTTTAAAACACACAAATATTTAATATTTATAAAATAAAGAAGTTTATTGTTTATATAAAATACTTCAACATAGTACTTCAAAGACTAACAATTCAAATATCCTATATAAAGAAAAAGAAAGCACATTTTTTCCAAACTTAACGCTTTTATTCTTCATATAAAAGCGTTTATTGTAGAGTTCGCCATGCGGTACAGCTTTTATTAACCCTTCATAAACGGATTCTAGGCGAATATTACAGTTACAAGCATTCGTTTAGTCGTGTAAAATATTCCAAAATAAATGTAAGAAATATCTTCGTGTAGTTTAATATTGATAATAGTTTCTTGTAACATACATTTATCCAGTAGAGTCAAGAGTCGTTAGCAGCATTTAAAAAAGAATATTAAAAAAAAATGTATATCACTTAAGGATGCAACTTTAATCATTCTAGTTTGTGACTTCCATTTCTAGACAGAAAATCTGATTAGTATACATTAGGAGAGAGAGTGAGTGAGTGGGGGCAAGTTCATCTCCTGGACATTAATGAAGATATTTCCGGAGTAAAAAGTTGATTGCTTACTATCTTTAAAACTACTCTAGCAAGTTTTCATTCAATGTTTGGTGTATATTACTTTAATTATGACCTCATAAAATAAAGAAGGATGGAAAAAAGAAGAAGAGTCGCTCGTTTGACTCCTGTTCAACGAACTACTTAAATAATTGAACATTACCTTCAATTTATGAGCAATAATAATGCATTTAACTGATCAATTATTAAACGTTTTCTGTATCTGGTTAACATCTACGTTAATTTAATGCCGTGGAAGCGCAATGATTGTAATTAAATAATTATGTTTTAACTGGAATATTCTGCATTCGGTTATTAATAGAGTGTATACGGATGTCGATGAATATTCCAAAATAAGTTGGTGAAGTATAATCACTTTTGTGTAAACTATAGCAATCTGAACGATCGCTCTTTTGGATCATTAAAGTTAATGAAGTTGCTTCAAATGGCGCTATATTATAGCCTATGTTGCATTATGTTTAAAGTGATTTTATAACATAAAAAACACAAAGATTGGCCTATTTTGAATTATGCATTATCTATACTTTTACTCAGTTCAATTTAAGTAAAAAGATGTTAATAAATTAAAGAATTGCTATGTTCTGTAGCCTAATTAACACACGGTATAATGTAAACTACATATGATACTATTCAAATATCCTTCAAAGAGAGTTTGTGTGAGGCCCGGAGAAGGGCGGACGGGCCATTTTTGTCCATTTTTTTGAACAAATGAAATATGTAGAATGTTTCCGTATTAATAAAGAAACAATTTTAAATATTTTATTTTTCTTTAGTANGGGTTGACTCGTTCTTGATCGTTGTAGCAGGTTTCTTAATTACATGAGATAGTTCGTTTTCTAAATGCGTAACAGTAGACGAGGAAGTACGCGTTGAAATGAAATATTCGTAAGAACTAGGTGTATCCGTTAAAACTAGATAAGGTACAGTACTAAACGTTTAGAGGAACGGGCAACAACTGCTACTATCGAGGGACTGGCGACGACTGGTTAAACTCACAGCAGTTTGCTATATTGAACTGATGAAAAGAGAGACAGTAGATCAGAAGATTATGAGAAAGCGTCACTTTCGATGCTGGGGACTTAAAAGACGATTTGCTCCCAGGTGTGAAAGTTGACAGTTATTAGACAAAGTTTTATTATCAAAATTATGTGGTTATTTAGTTATGTTGTTAATAAGTTACGTAGTGAGTGCAGATTCCTACATTTTTATATTTCGTACTTAATTCTCTTTCCATGTTGTTTATGCCACCATAGCCAATAGCAATATAGGTATCGTGCAATGTCTCAAATATTTCTTCAGTGTAAATGTAATATTTAATCAGGCACAATTCATTTTCCTATTTCTTCAATAGATACAATGTAATATCTACACAAACGCATACTCTTCCGGTAACTTCGAAGTCACTTTGATTTTTGACACTTTCACTTTTTGTATCATTGTCGAATATGCTGATTTTGTAAAAATTTCAGTGTTCTGAACTTTTGATACTGACTGATTTAATCGATTGTTGAATTGGTTATTCATATCACATAATGATTGCTCCATGATCGTTATTATTTCAAAGAAGAAAACATTAACTTTAAGAGAAAAAAGTAAATTTAAAATCTGTACAAGATTATCTACTAGTACCATGAATTTTTAAAATTTAATATTAAACGCAATTTGCAAGCGCAAATCAGTCGCGAGTGTTGATTGGTTAGCGTAAGATGATCACTCGTTAAGGTATTATCATCATTTTGCCCGACCAAGTGATAGCAGTATTCATAGTGCCCTGCAATCTGATAAATTTTGATAAAAAAACATGAAATTTATTATAGTGACAATTATTCGTAATGACCAGGCATTATGAATAATCCTATATTAAATCTAGATTAATCCACAGAAAGACGAAAAAATCTCTCCTTATTTATAAAAATTTTTTACCAAAATTGATCAATTGGAAGAAGAGATTCGATTCATTTATTATTCAGATTTAAATAATAAAAACCTGCGAAATATCACAGGATTTATGTTTAAAAAACGGATTGAAATAGAATAAGAATCAATTTTTATTATTAAAAACGTTTATTCCCTAAAATTCTCTTTAAAATTTCACTCGGAAAAGTAATTAAAAGAGGATTATCCTCTACGTTATCCGGATCAGAGAAGATGCTTCTACTACTACTTCGGCGGATTAACGAACCACAACTTATTAACAAATACAGAAAATTTATTATTAAGTTTACTTTATAGGAGATTAAGTTATAAATTCGGATTAAGAAAGAAAAAGTATCTAGAATTTCTCAATAAAAAAAAAAAACAATTTTTATTATATATAAAAGTATAGGTTACGGATAGATCGGATCGAAAAGGATTTTCGTAAAATAAAATCCGGATCAAAGAGAAAAACAAAAGTGGAAATTCCTAAAAAATTTGATTAAAAAAAAAACATTAATTTAACATCCGACATCACTTTGAGAAAAGGATTAACGTTACGCGTGACGTCACGAGAAGATTAATGACGTCACGAGATTAACTTAAACGGATTGGAGAGCGGGAAAATAGCCAAACGAGAAACATTTAAATTTCCGCAAAATTTATCACACTGTATGTGACGCATTGATCAATATATAGGCCAATGTCAATATTGTATACAGACAACAAGGAAGAGAGGTTAAGATTAAGTGGATAAGGATTAAGAAAGGGATTAAGCAGTATTTAATCCACTTACCGTCTCTCCTACATAAGCCTAATCTGGCAGCAGACGTCAACACTGCGACAACAAATACGACATCCATGGCAAATCTTCTCAGGTACGGCCGGTTACCGATCGGCCACACGAAACGGCTCCTAGTGCAGCCACGAGTGTGATGTTATACGTTACGGTGGCCGTCATGGGCCGGTTACGACGCCGGCAGCAGACTCAGACTTCAGCAGACGACTGCAGCAGCCATGGCGCCTTCGCGTGCACTTAAAAATACGCTTACGGCGCACGCTCGATAGTGGTTCCCCCTGGCTGCTAAAAGTCCGGTTTGCAGGTGGAGAGAAAATTTTATAAATAATTTTTATTTTTTATTTTTTATTTTTTTTATTTTTATTGTTTGTATATATATATATTTTTTAAATTAAGTCGCTTTTCGAAGAATTATTTTACAGTTAATAGCTTTTATTTTATTTATTTGTTTTATTCTTTTTATATGCGCGTCTATCCGGTTTCTTTTTATGCAAATTTTTACATTCTCAAAAGGTTTGTAGAGTTTCGCTTACGATAATTAATGGGTAGATTTTGTTTTTTTTTAAAAAAAAGTGGAGATTCTTTGTGAAATTTAATAGAAAATAGTAATTTTTCATTTTGTAAATTGTTTTACTTACATTTAAGTGATCTTTTAAAAATAAATGTAGAAATAAAAGGCTATAAAATGCGATGTTTAATACGCGCGTGCCCGTCCCCAACGCTTTAAGGTCTTTAAGTGCAAACGTTCGGAGCACTTTAATGTCTTTAAACGCATCTCCATTCAGGAGTTTAACGCTTATCAGCGCGAACTTTCCCTCAATGCTTTAATTTCCACACACGCGTGTCGACTTCCAGCGCATATACGTCCTTTACAACTCTTCTAATGTTAACTCTTCTATGTTAACTCTTCTAATGTTCTCTAGTACGCGTTAACTAGAGGCTTTAACGTCATAATTACGCGTTAACTAACGCTTTAATGCGATCAACTCGCCTTCTAGCTTTTAATTTCTATAATCACACTCGCCCTTCAGCATTCTGACATCAATAATCGCGTAACTCGCGACTTAAAAGGGTTTTTTGTGGTTTTATAATGATGTCTCAATTAAATTTACAAATTAAATTCAATTTTCGAGACCTAAATTCGCTTATTTTTTCTAAAAATTGGCATTTTTTTGAAACGTAATACCGATTCATAATGATGAAAAACTTACATGGAGGGAATAACAATGTTTAGTCTTTCTTACAAATGACGTTATTAATGATAGGTTACGAAGAGGAAGGGGAAAAAATAATCGTAGACTAATGACATGGATATACAAAGAAGATGAGATTAGGATACGGTAAATAAACATGAATTATATTTAGAAATTTATAGATGGTCGAATAATATCCTTTTATGGGTTCGAACTGGATAAAATTTTAAGTATGTTACGAGTCAAAAACATAATGAAAAATGTCACGGAATAATTTAAAGATTAAAAAAAAAAACACCAAAAATATCCATAGGGGAAGGGAAGAGGGAAGAATATATAAGAAAACTGTAAGAAAAGAAAATCATAAAAGCAAGAAAAGACAATTTAAATTCAAATATCGGAGACTTTATTTAATCCAGATGTTGTAGAGAAAAGAATGAAACCAATATTAAGAAGAGTTTTGCCAAAGAAACATATTAAATTTGGAATTTATGAGAGTTTGTTTCCACAATAAATGCCTGTGTAATACCTGAAACGGTCGTTATCGTTAATTGTTATTTATGCGTATGAAAGTGGAAGAATAAAATGTGTTTTAATTCCCGTAAAAAAATTACAAAAAAGTTAATTTTGTTTATTTTCATGATCGATGAACCTGTTTTAGCAGGAAGCCATATTTAAATATATATATATACAGTATATAATGATAAGATCTTTACAGTTCTTAGGTTTCTCTTATCAATATGGAAGCGTTGGTGGCCTGTTTGTCATCTGGTGTCGGGTTCGATTCCTGTTTGGGCCTCACGGTCATTGTTTTTCTGTGTGTGTCTGTATGTAGAAGCTTAGATACTTCGAAGAAATTTTATCTTAGCAAGGAAGATAACGCTTTACTTTTGCGAATTGTAAACTATCTTTAAGAGTATAGACCTGCAGATAACAGCCCACTCTGGCTTGTTAGTTGAGACAGAATTGCAACTCCATTAGAGAAATTTCAAAAATAAGTTCAAATAAAAAGGAAAAATGCCAATTAAATTTTCGGAAAATTTAATTAACAATTAACTATTAATTAATTTTTAATATAATAAACTTAAAAACTTACCTAAAATGTAAATATATTTGTTCTATTTTTAATTAATAAATAAAATACAAAATTAATAGTTTTTAAAATAAAAACTTCAGTTAAATAAATAATTTTTTTTTCCCAGACTGCATTATAATTTATAGAAATTTACGTTAATTCAAGCATAAATTTTAATATAAATAGTGACCTAAAAGTCAGTTAACGGCGTGTGTGTTAGTTACACTTGTGAATGTAGAACATGATTTAAATACTTAAAAATAAAACCCCAATGGTTAACTGACTTTCAGGTCAATATATAGAAATATAAAGTTTAGCTTAATTTTTTCTAGATTAATGCTGAAAACAAAATTTATTTAAACAATGTATAAATGAATATATTGATTTATAAGCAAAGATTAATAAATTAATAAAATTTATTCACATATTAATATGGAAGTGTATAATTCGACTATAAAATATACTTTTTTAAATTCTCATTTTTTTTTTAATTTTAGAAGTTTAGAACATTCATTGTAATATTCCAAAATTATACGAGGTCAACTAATTATACTGTTACAGCTCTTACTTTGAATTATATCTCGATTGTTTTCTTTATGAGTAATATCCGACAGAATTTATGAATGTAGTAGCAATATTTTTAAACCTTTTTTCTTATTTTTTCCTTTGTAAAGATAGATAAACAGCTGTGACGAATTGCGATTTATGCTTTCTTACTCGCCATTTTATCCGAAACAATAACTTTTGAAATAGTACCTAAAGAAAGAAGAAGAAGAAAAAAGGAGTGAAAATTCCTAAGAATTCTGGAAAAAATTCGAACAGAAATAAAAAATGACAAAACATAAAACAGGTTGGTGAGCGGTTTCTATATAATGATAGACGAAGTAGAAGACAGTGCATACCGTCATTATATTCACCCCAACTTTCTCTGATGGCAAAAATACCCCTCCTCGTCACTGACACGGATTTCGGTCCACAATAGGGACCGAAAACATCAACGTGTCATTAGCGGTAGCCAATAGGGAGCGACATTATGTGATTTATTTCATTACACGTCATACGTCTGCACGACAGCAAATCACGTCTAGATTATTACGACGAATTATCAAGCTTCGTACATTCGTATTCGTGTATATAAACTTATTTAAATAATTAATTTACGCCTGTTTATATGTTAAATAAATAAGAATATTTTTACGTTTGTTTTTATCGAATTTTTACCGTAGTGACGGTTTTGTTTTTGAACGACGAGAAGTGTATCCCGAGGCAAAAAGGAGCAGAAAATTGGCAGTTGTCTCCTGGACTGTGGAACAGTTGTACACTGTATTTACCTCAGTCTGAATGTAGTTGGGGTAAGGTTAGACGGAGAAAAAATGCTCTTAATGCCATCGTAATCATAGGCCCTTGGGGAGTAGGGAATGGTTTGTGTCATTTTTCGGTCTTGCCAAGGACATTGTTCTTTTCTTCCACTTCCTATCGTAGTTAGATGATGGAAAATAATTTCGGGACAAATAATAAGGACGTGGTCTATTTTAGATTGTTTATAGATTTTGGGAAGCGCAACTGAGCTAGATCCAAGGTCCAGAACTTTATATGCATAGACAACTCTTCTTTTATGAAGTCAAATACACGACAATTTAACCAATTTCAAAATTATAGATTATAACGATTATTATTATAACAGTCTCTTTGGATTTACAAAATTTCAAATGTCTCAATTAGTATATTGATGAAGAGGAACCAATCTTTAGTAAGCAAGTCACGTGGCTAACTCCTGATGAGGTCTCCGATCTCGGTGGTCCATTTGGCTTACAACTGAGTTTAATACAAGCTAATTATAGAACAATTAGTACCTCGTTAGCAAGAACGTACTTACATAAAGTGCATGGGCGGTACCTTAAGAAAGCAAACGATCATTTCTCGATAAGGATAAGAATCTAGATGAAAATTCACTTGATAATTTTTATATAAGAAACAATCGAATTTATGACAAATTTAGTTTCCTATTTTTAATATTGTATATAGAATTTGTCAGTTAAGATATATTACCAGCAGAATATAAGCTTCTTTCACTATCACTTATGCCTTATATTGCATTCTTTTGAACACAGCGTGACATCTGTCATTTAAAAGTTTCTGCCAGGCAATATCTTGAAAAATATAGTTTTATTAGAGTTTTATGAATTTTTTTCTTATATTTTTACTTATATAAAAATTTACTTAAAATTAAATACTTAAAAATAAAACCCCAATGGTTAACTGACTTTCAGGTCAATATATAGAAACTACTATATATATTACAACTACTATATATCATCTATTGAAACTAACTTAGTTTGTGCTATAAGAGAATATATAGAAGTACGCACACGAGAATAGAGGAAAAGAGGAACAAAAATCAATAAAACTTACAAAAATGATAAATGGGAATAAACGGAACAGCATCTAGATTTATTGTATTGTTTATATCTCTGCGGACTAATGCCGCATCAATCCTAAAATAAGGGTTTTATATATTTATCCTGAATGAAGTTGCCTTCTGTATAAAAATAGAACCTACTTTAATGTCCCCAATCAAAGAGGGCTTGGTTATGTGGTATTGATTCTTATCAGATTCTCCTCTTTATAGCTTAAAAAAATTATTTCATAGCCAACTAAAAACGTAATTTTCGAAAGATAAATATTGGCCATGCTTCATAACAAGATAACATTTGGATAAATATTAATCTCTGGAGGCATCGTGCCTCTGAAGTCTAAGTTATAATTAAATACGGTCCCTCGAGACTCCTGTCAAATAACTAAGAGGCCTTAAACACCCTCATGTACTAGAAAGACTAGTAAAAACTCCCCTAGCTTCATATGTGGCATTCTTACGATGTCCTAAATGCTCCGAACTCTTATTAAGCAATGAAGATGGAGAAAAATTTGCAACAAGGATGGAATGCTGGTTGAAGGTGCTGGGCGTTTAGTGTTTAGTAATAAAGACTGAGATGAGGGAGTAATTATTGT